AGCTGTCGATTCTAATCGCGAAAAGAATCCGGGGCCGTTAGGCAAAAACCCTCCCCTCCGGTATGCACGAAATTTCACGAACGGACTCATTGCCCTTGTGACGGGCGCCATCCGGCCGCCACGTCACAATATATATGTATACATATAATAAAAGATTAATTATCTACATATTGTCTGTGACTGCGGATATTGTTGGACCGATTCTTTCCTTTAATTCATTTTCTTGTTTCAGCTTCGTAGCAAACCATGTGCTTGCAAAATGTTTATAGTCAGAGAACAATCTCCTGCAAGATAAAATTGCCAAAGTGTGAGCCTTGATGTACATCATTCATGCAACATTCGTTATCGGAATTAATAGGAAAAAGAGAAATAAATTTATAAACATATTTATAGTACCTATTCTTCTTTTGATATTTCTTAGTGTTTATATATTTATATATTTGTTATTCCTTGATTTGTCATGGCTGTTGCATTTTCCATTTCCAATATATGATTTTTCATCTTGCTAAAGTAATGCTACAGGATTGATCCTCGATGTTTGAGAAACGTTTTCCATTTCTGAAATCACATAATAAATCTCAAATCACAATAATAAAATTGTGACATATGCGAATATAGGTAACATATCCTGTTTGTTGAAAGAAACCAAAATCAACAGATTAGGGTAATGGACACCGAGAAGGCCTGTCAAAGGCATCAATGAAAGAAAGATTGGAAAATATATTTCACGAACCTGCTCTTGGTTTGTTACATCAATCTGTCGCTGCACTGCAGGTAACAGATATACTCTTATATTCCATGTTAGATATAATTTCAAGTGTTTTTGACCAGCACATGGTTAACTGGGAGGCTAAAATAAAAAAATTCATTACAAAACAACAATCAACCCGACATGTGCAATTTTTCACAGCATATAGATACTCAGTATCACTTTTTGTGTAAATATAAGTTACTTATCTGATATATGTTCCTTTATTATCCATTTACTTCTTTATGTATTCCTTGTTTCATGTTGTATAGACTTTATTCCACATGTGACAATTGATTCTGGTGCAAAGAACTATGATGCATCAATGATGTACATCAAGGCTCACACTTTGGCAATTTTATCCTGCAGGAGATTGTCCTCTGACTATAAACGTTCTGCAAGCACATGGTTTGCTGCGAAGCTGAAACAAGAAAATGAATTAAAGGAAAGAATCGGTCCAACAATATCCGCAGTCACAGACAATATATAGATAATTAACCTTTTATTATATGTATACATATATATTGTGACGTGGCGGCCGGATGGCGCCCGTCACAAGGGCAATGAGTCCGTTCGTGAAATTTCGTGCATACCGGAGGGGAGGGTTTTTGCCTAACGGCCCCGGATTCTTTTCGCGATTAGAATCGACAGCTTTCCACGGTCATATCGGTCGAGCGTAGGGGGGTTAATTGGCAAAGCGAATACGGTCCCGCAAGTGGGATGGTCAGCGCGTCCTGAGAAAATGTGCCCCAACTCACCTCGCCGACCACGAAGAGAAGAGACCACAGGACACCGAGGGAACAGGAAGAAGGAAGAAACGTCATCGGCCTCAGGGAAAGTCGCCGTTTAAATGGTACGTGGATAACGGCACTTTAACTTTCTTTACATAAGAACGTGTTACCGTTCCGATTTCGGCTGCCGCTGGCGATGTTTGTTTACAGCACGCTGCCGGACGCGGGAAGGAGAGGTGCGGAGCAGACACGCAACAGCTGACGACGATCGACAACAAAGCAAGTGCCGCGGAAACAACGAGATCCCGGCGAGACAGGCTAGAGAGAGAGAGATAGATAGAAAGAAAGAGAGAGGGAGACTCGCCGAGAGGAGAAAAAGCGGAAGCAACGCGAGAGAAGAGAGACTTCGCGCGACTTTCGAGGCTCGCGACGGGTTCGCGATCGAGTTATCGAAAAATCAGAGCATACCGCCCGGAATCTCGACCTTTGGTGCTATCTTCGCGTTAACGCTATCGAGGATGAGCGTCTATCGTGGGACATCTCGGCAGCGAGTGACCGATTCCCAATCTAGGCCAGCCAAGGCGTACGTCCACGGAGCGACCGTTACGAGGCTAAAGCGACCACCAGCGTACGAGACTACAGGCCCGGAGTGGAGGCGAGGAGGAGTCCGATCTGTTATAAGACCTCCCATTTGTTTGCGTGTTAGTGTAGTGAAGTTGTCGTCCCGGGAACGTCGCATGCGGAGTGGTCACGCGAGAACTATACGAGAAAACCGAACCGGAACAAGTACAATTAGTTAACGTATCGACGCGTGCGAGAGAGTAGAAAACGCACTTGGAGTGCTTGTACCGACCGAATAAAGATCTATACCGAAAGTACAATTGCATTTTTCCTCGGCTTCCCGCCTGCAACGATAAAACCCATTCCTCCTCCGACTCAAATTAAAAAGAGAGCTACCGGTCCCGTTAAGTTTCCGCGATATCGACGACTGGCTATAACTTGGAGATTTTGGCGAATACGAATTAGTGAGGAGGTGCGGCCTTACCGCACCTGGCGCCCAATTTGAGTTGGTGAGTTCGTACCGAAATCCGGGGACCGCGGTAATTTGTCGACGAGGCGGACAGGCGACTGTCTGTCAGTATCGGTAAGAAAAGTCGTCACAATATATACATACATATATATATATATATATATATATATATATATATAAATTTTAACTACTTATCTGATATTTACTTATCATCCATTTATTTATTCTACTATTTTCTTTGTGTAAACTTGTGTAAACTTGTCTTTAATCTTGCACAGACTTCATTCCATATTTAACGATGTTGCCAAAATGATTTGGATGTATATCAGTTGGGGCAATTGGACACAGTCCAATCACAAGTCGCTGTTCCGAGGGACCCTACAAAAGTCTCTAATCACACGGTGCTGTGATTGGCTGTGTCCAAATGCACCGTGTCCAAGTGCACCGCTCCCAAATGATTTTACTGCAAAGAATTATGCCACAAACATGAATGATATCATGAATGATATAATGATATTATATATTAGGTGTACAACTTTGCTTCCGCCGTTTTCCTATAGATGGCTTTAGCGGTAAGTGGTGGTCGAAATAAATAGATTATAGACATCATACAATAAACTTGGGCATCTGTCAACATAACCTCATAGAAACATTTGCAACGAGCCGTCAAATACGTTTTTCCAGACTCGGTGAGCGTTACGTACAGGCAAGAAGTCTTACATAAAACGAGATTTTCCGATATCCCTATCGCGATAATCCAGAAGAGGATTGCTCTTTCTTCTCTCTGTCGTTTCTCGACAGGTTATAAGCCTTTTTGCATTTGGTTTCGCGTGGAAACGCGCACTTGAATTCCAGGGCAATTAGGAATGTCTCCGAAAGGCTTCATAAATAGTAACACATGTCGTCTAACATAGTTACCGCGCAACAAGTATCGTACAACGAGTACATCTTGCCGACTCGAATTTAAATTCGATAATTTAATTTCGATTTGTGTCTGCATCATAAAGTTATTCTTGATTGAAAATGTCAGTTTACGAGCCAAATTCTCGTCATTTGCGGAAGATTTTAATTTTCTACTTCAATATGAAGAAATCTGCGGCTGAGGCTCATCGAATGCTCTCAAATACTTATGGTGAGGCCGCTATTAGTGAAAGAACGTGTCGTGAGTGGTTTTAACGCTTCAAGAACGGTGATTTTGACGTCGAAGACCGGCATAGCGGTGGAAGAGAGAAGGTTTTCGAAGATGCAGAATTGGAGGTATTACTTGATCAAGACTCGTGTCAAAATCAAGAAGAATTGGCACGATTATTGGGAATGACTCAATAAGCCATTTCAAAACGCCTCAAAACCATGGGAATGATTCAGGAGCAAGGAAATTGGGTGCCGTACGAATTGAAGCCGAGAGATGTTGAACGGCGCTTGTTTGCTTGTAAACAGCTGCTTGAAAGGCAAAGACGGAAGGGATTTCTGCATCGCATTGTGATTGGGGACGAAAAATGGGTTCATTACGATAGCCACAAGCGCAGAAAATCATGAGGAGTTCTCGGCCATGCTTCTACGTCGACGGCCAAACCGAATATTCACGGCTCCAAGGTCATGCTCTGTATTTGGTGGGACCAGCTCGGCGTAGTGGGATGTATATCAGTTGGACACGGGGCAATTGGACACAGTCCAATCACAAGTCGCTGTTCCAAAGAACCCTACAAATGTCTCTAATCACACGGTGCTGTGATTGGCTGTGTCCAAATGCACCGTGTCCAAGTGCACCGCTCCCGGCGTAGTATATTATGTGTTGTTAAAACCGACTGAAACAATCACAGGCAATCGGTATCGAACGCAATTGATGCGTTTGAGCCGAGCATTAAAAGACAAACGGCCGCAATACAACGAGAGACACGATAAAGTGATTTTGCAGCATGACAATGCTCGACCCCATGTTGCGAAAGTGATCAAGACATACTTGGAAACGTCGAAATGGGAAGTCTTACCCCACCCGCCGTATTCTCCAGACGTTGCTCCCTCTGACTATCACCTGTTTCGATCAATGGCACACGGCCTGGCTGACTAGCACTTCCGATCTTATGAAGAAGTAAAAAATTGGATCGATTCGTGGATCGCCTCAAAAGTTTTTTCGACGCGGGATTCGTACGCTGCACGAAAGATGGGAGAAAGTAGTGGTCAGTGATGGACAATACTTTGAATCATAAATGTATAAAGTTTTTTACAATAAAGCCTCGAATTTCGGAAAAAAAACGGCGGAGGCAAAGTTGTATACCTAATACAATTGTATAATTTTAATGTATCAAAACTGAAACATTAAAATTATACAATTGTGTATAATAATAATCTATTAATTTATAAATACATTTATATTCACATATTTGTAAAAATTATTTTTTTATCTCGTTTATCTCTGTGCACTCCACGTTTCCATTTATTTGCATCATTTTAATATAATTTTATTTTTATTTTATGCTCCATTATGTTTTTTATATTAATATTTATAAAGAATTACAATTCTTCGATATTTCTTGTTTACACTCTCCCATATCTGTCAAAGGTTTCGCAAACTAACAGACTCACTACTTAAACAGTGTTACTAATGTACAGAAATTAAAATTATATCGTATAGAGGTTTTCGTTTGGAGTGGGTTTCGATTGACTACAGTACGATTGGACATAGATTGTAATGATTGGTTCGAGTAATTCACTAGATAATTCTTATCATCGATTGGTTATGTCCAATCGTACCGTGGTCAATCGGAACGCTCCCTTCTTTCGTACCAATACTATCCCCTCCATTTTTCGGGAAAATGTAGCCTAACCAAGTTTAATAGCGTGTTCGACTGGCTTTGGGTTAATTGCTCCGAAAGCGATTAATGATATCATAAGTCTCTACTAGCCAATCATAAAGCTTATAAATACTTGTTTGATCAATAAACGTAGGCTGAATAAGCTAGAATAATTCGTATGTACTTAACCGGAAAAAAACTCCGGTTGGAAAACTGTTCTTTTAAATCGTTTGTATTTCGTATGAAGAGTTTTGAAGTACAAATAAAAAGATTTGTGAGTCATTCTATTACTTGTAATTAATTGTTCTTTTTTGGACCATGTATTTAGCCGGAAATAATGACCGGAAGTAAATTAAACAAAGGTTTGGTATGGTATTTTAGTATT